AGTGGGTGGCACAAACACCCCTGTGGCTTCCTCTCTCCACCCTCCTCTTGCCCTTTCTGCAAAGGGTGGGGATCCCACAGCCCCCATCCCAAGGGAAGTGGTGGCTTGGGAAGCTGCTCCTGGCACCTGAGGCTCCCCAAGGGCTGCATCCCTGTGACCTCCTGGTTCTCCCCCCCGCAGGCTGACGCCAAGATGGTGTGCGACGTCGTCAGTCGGATGGAGGACACAGAGCCCTTCTCTCCAGAGCTGCTCTCAGCCATGATGAGACTCTGGGCAGACTCTGGGATCCAGGAATGCTTCAACCGCTCCCGGGAATACCAGCTGAACGACTCGGCCCAGTAGTGAGTATCCCCTGGCCATGGGTTTGGGGGTGAAGAAGCTGCGTTTGGGCTCGTTGGAGTTTTCAGTGACCTGACAGCGGTGGGAGCTGAGCCCAGTTTTGCTTCCAGCCTGGGGAGTGTGTCCTGTTACAGAAGGGTCAGGCAGGGCTTTCATGTCCCCTCTGGCCAAGTCTGGGGGCAGGTCCGTGGTGGCCACGGCCAGGTCAGGTTCCCAAGCTGCTCCCAAACACCTCGAGGGAGGTTCCTACAAACACGGATCCAGTGAGCAGAGGCAGCCCAGGCTGTGGACGTGGCTGGTGGCCTCTTTGTTTGTCTGACAGGGGACAGACCCTTGTCTGAAGGGTGTGAGAACCTGCTCTATGTGGCCCTGCAGCTCTTGGGTTGCTCTACTGGGGGACGTGCACTGTCCTGAGAGGTGAGGGACAAAGCTGGGGAGGGGCTTTTTACCAGGGTGTGCAGTGATTGCACAAGGGGTAATGGCTTTAAGCTGGAAGAGGGAGATTGAGGTGAGACATGAGGAGGAAATTGTTTGGTGTGAGGGTGGTGAGAGCCTGGCCCAGGTTGCCCAGGGAAGCTGTGGCTGCCCCATCCCTGGCAGCGTTGAAGGGCAGGTTGGATGGGGCTTGGAGGAGCCTGGGCTGGTGGGAGGTGTCCCTGCCCATGCAGGGGGTTGGAACTGGATGATCTTGAAGGCCCTTCCAACCCAAACCAGACTGGGATTCTGTGATCTTTGCTTTTATGGTGGCAGTGCCTGATCCTCCTGACACAGCCAGTGGCATCTCTGGGGACCACAGCCAGGGTTTTCCAATGGTGACTGAACCTTGGAACCCGTGGCTTTGGTTCAGCACAAGGACAGGACACCCACCCATGAACAGCTGCTGTGGCTCTGAAGGAACACGGGTGCTCCCCCAGCTCCAGCCCAGCCCCATTCCTAGTGACCATTCAGCCCAGCTGTTTGCCTCCACCTCGGCAAGGAGGGGAAGGCTCTGCAGCCCAGGGTTTGGGTTGCAGCAGCTGCTGCAGTCAGGAGAAATGTCCCCTGGCCCCGTGCTGGGCCCTGGGCAGCAGTCAGGAAGAGATGGTGAAGCGTGAGCACAAGGAACAAGCAAACAGGGAGCAACCACCTCCCCAGCTGCACCCGTGGACCTTGCAGTGGCTTCCCCAGCTGGTGACAGGGCAACACCACATCCCTGCTCTTGCCTGTCACTGTGTCAACCAGTTCAGCAGCTGATTCCTGCACTTCTGGAGCCCTTGCTGTGTGTTTGGCTTGTCTGGCACCTCTGCCAGGGCCTTTCCTGGTCGCCTGTCAAAACACAGCCCCGAGCACCAGCAGGGCTGGTGGGTTTGTTCCCTGTGGTGGGTCTGGTGGTCCTGGCTGCAGCAGCTCCTCCCACCCAAGCTGGTGGGGCAGGCAGGGCTATTGCAGCTCTTGCTGGGCTGCAGCAGAAGGGGAGTGATGACACATCCCTTGGCAGTGACCACAACCCAACTGGGAGAGCTGAGGAAGTGGGGCTGGTGTCCCAGCATCCTGCCCAGCCCCTCCTCACCAGCAGCAACTGCACCTCAGGGTGACATTCTGCTGCCTTTTCATCAGCACTGGGTGGACACCCATGTCTCATCTAGATTTCATGGCCTGAACCAGCAAAACCTTCTCTTGCCAGCTGTTGGGTGATGTTGTTTTCACCAAAGAAGGGTCTGAACACACCTTGAGAGGCATAAATTCTAGAAAATGCCAGTCCTGATGGCATTACAACCTGGGGGGAAATTCTTCAGTGATTTTTTAGAGCCAATTACCTGGAGGAGAGTATTTTGATTTCCCTTCCATGCTAGAGAGCAGTTGGACCTGACAAGCCTGGCCCTCCCAGCACAGCCAGGCAGCTCAGCAGCAGGAGCTCTTGGAGCCACCAACTGAACGTGGCATCCACAGCAGTATCAAGGGGTGGTTGCAGCCCAGCAGAATGAGTTTTGGGGTCTCTAACAAAAGCTCTGGCCTCAGGAGGAGGATGCAGGACCCTCCTTGCCAAGGGGGGGGCTGTGCTGACCCTCTCTCCAGCCACCCTGCCTGCCCTGCCGTGGGCAGACACGGGGCTGGAGGGTGAAGCTGGAGATAACAGAGCCTTGCTGCCACTTGAGGAGCCTGGGGGGGGTCCTGTCCCCAGGAGCAGAGATGCTGCCACAGGGCAGGGCAGTGTGACATGTCCTGCTGCAGCTCCCAGCCCTGCTGCCATCACACCAGATGGTGATGGAGTGTGAGCTCAGTTGGCGCTTCCCCAGCCCCGCTGAGAAGAATCATGTTTTTCATCTCATCCTTCCACCCTTTGGGGCTGATTCCTTCTGTGTGAGGGAAAGATTGGAGACAGTTTTCTTTTCTTTCTCCCCCCCACACCCCATCCCAGGAAAGGGCCCATCTGATACTGGGCTGAAATCACTGGCAACTACAAAATGTCTTTTCCTTTGGGCTGAGAGAAAAAAAGAAACCCCAGCCAAGAACTGAATCTGGAGTTCCCCAGAGTTTGAAAACCAGTGACAGGTTCTGAGCTGGGCTCTTCTTTCAGGCTTCTCTTGTTGCTCAGCCATAGGACCTGGTGCTTTGCTGGCAGGAGGGAAGTTCCCAGCAGGAGGGAACTTCATGACTGCCCAGCATGTGTCTCAAAGCTCCAAGGAACCCTGGTCCTGACGTGGCCAGCACAGATGGGACCCTCAGCAGCAGTCCAGACACTTTTCTTCACCCCAGAATCAACCCTCTGAATGCTTTTCAGAAGCCCCTCCTTCCCTGCCTGGCTGTTCCCAAGGACCCACCACTTGGCCTTCCCTTCTTGCCCTCATCCTACTTTCCTCTCCCAGTGTTTTACCTTGAGTTTGGTTGTTTTAACTGGCTCAAACCACAGACCTTCTGCTGACAGACCAAGTCCCAGGCTGCTCCACAACCTGCCAGGACCAGCAGTGTGGCTCTGATGATCCTCCCATTAATTCCACTGAAAAGAGCTGCAATATTTTGTGTCAACCTAAACAAGGAGTAAAAGCTCTTCTCTCCTAGCAAAGGTGGGCAGGAGGGAGTTGCTTTCTCCTCTCCCATGCAAACCTGCCCAAGAGGGAAGTGGACTTCCCTGAAGAGCTTTGTGCCTTGTAGGCTCTAAAGTCAACCTGTCCTTGGGAAGGATTTGGGGGCTCCTGCAAAGGAACAGCAGAAAAAAACACTTTTGCCAAGCAAAAATAACAGGACTGAAGAAGAGAAGAGGTTCTGAAAGGAACCTCCTGTGTCTTGGACAGCAAAAAGTAAAACCATAAGGGCAGCAAGAGAAGGGAAAAGAGTAAGATGGAGCAGTTGTTTGTTTGTTTGTTTGTTGTTACTGCTTTTTTTCCCTCTTTTCCATCATTCCCTGAGGCAAATTTACGGGTGGGTTGAGTCCCACATTCCTCATCTCTTGATTATGTTTTTATTTCTACTTCATCTTCTCTTCCTTTCTTGTCTCCATGCCTAGAAGCCAAATCTACCTCTGATCATCAAAGAGCCTGGGCACTGCTTTTTCTTCTCCAGCCAGTTCCTGTCTGTGGCAGCACATCTGTGACCCACATTTTGCTTTCAGAATCAGCAACGTGGAGGTTTCCAGCTGGTTTCCTTCATCTCCCACTTTTGTTCAGGTTTTCAAATGGCTTTGTGTTGCCCATCCTCCAGTTCCTGACCAGCCTGGTCAGTGGAGCCCAGTCCATAGGGCAAGTTTGATCTTTGCCACCCAGGGTTGGGGACCTGCTTTGAAGAGCCTCC